GTCAAGAACTATGGGGTATGAGCAAAATGTAAAGGAAATGTTTGTGGAAAAATATATAAATAAATAAATAAATAACAAAACAAATTCTTCCCAGCAGCTTGGAAAACATATTGGACACAGTGGTGGAGGTCTAGGGTCTTGACAGGAAGGAGGAACGGGGGAAAGGACATTGTGGCATGACCAGGTCCCACTAGGGCGCTTTCTGTCTGTCTCTTTCTCTCACCCTTGTGCACATATACCCACACAACCTCTAGTACTAAAAAAAGTTAGCTTAGGGACCAGCCGTTGGCATAATGGCTGTGTTGCTGAACTCCCATGTAGTCGACCATGTTTTAAGTCCTGGGCGTGGGAGCGTAAACTCATGCTGGGCATGTGTGCGTGCATACCCAAGATCCTGAGAGGAGAATGGAGGAGAAGGGATTGCATCATGGCTGTCTCTCCTTGGGGGGTGATTTCTTGCTTTCTGTTTCTCTCTGTGAGTGCAAGCTCCCTATAGCAAAAACCCCTCAAAAAAAAAAAAAAAGTTAGCCTTGTGAAATTTAACTTTGAAATATGGACTACTTTATGCATCTATAGTGATAGAGCGGAACCTATGTGTAACAAGAAATCAACTTCTATCATTCAAAATAATTGATAGGGTCCCCCTGTGGCCTAGCGTTAGGAGAGCTAGATCTCACATGGTTTACAGCTGGGAAATTCCAATCTCAGTGGCTTGAAAAACTTGCCAGGCACATGTATGCCTAAAATATGGACAGGATGGAGAAACAGAAGAGAAGGAATTGTGGCAAGACCACACCCCATTGGGTGGTGCTTCCCCCGAATCCCCATATCTGTTGGTCTCTCTCTGGTGAAGGCAAGTGCTCTCTAGAAAAAACAAACAAACAAACAAACAAACAAAACAAACATTGTCCATCATTGTATCTCCACCAACTACCCCTTTCCTATTTTGGAAATTTGGAGCAAATTCTAGGCATATTATGATGTCATCTGTAAATATTGTATTATTAGTTTCCTAACAGATAAAATTTCAATTATAATACTATTATTGCAACTTAAGTAATTAGCAATAATATTTATATAATTACCTGATACCTACATTTCCAAATTGAATTATAATATTGGGCAAAACAGTGTTAGAAATTGAAATCAAGGGGCTGGCGGGTGAGGTGGTGGTTAAGCACCGGACTCCCACATAGCTGACCGCAATTTGAGTCCCAGACCTGGTGGCCTGTTTTCTCACTTTGCCTCTCTCTTTGGTCAAATAAAAAAAATAATAATAATGCACTGAGAGGGACACAACATCACACATATACTACTTCTGCCTGAAATACTTCACTGAGATCTAAGGAGGAAATCATCAGGAAATCCTAATCATGCAACTGTTTCCAAAATTCAAAACTTTCATGCTTCAAGCATGTCCCTCACAAAATATAGAATGAGGTGGAAGGGCTAAGATTAGAGACTAAGAAGACAGGGTGATTAGATGTAATTTGCAATCCCTGACTCATCCTTGATGGGAGGGGGAAATCTATAAAGGGCATTGTCGAGATAACTGGGGCAACGTGACTTTTGAATAATAAAATTGTGTTAGTGATTTAATTTTCTGAGTGTGATGATTGCGTTTTTGGTTAGGCAGGAGCATGACCTTATTCTAGTAAGATACCTAGGGGGCATTCTGCCCTGGGGGCATTTGGCAGCAGGAGGCAGCAGGTGCTCTGAGACCAGATATCCAGGCACTGCTGCCTCCTAGCCCCAGGACTTCCTCCTTCCTCCTGTGGTCCTGGGTGCTCCTTTCCTCCCAAGGGATTCTTATCTCATCTGTAAGACTCAATGATTCAGGAAACAGGAACCATCAACAGCTCAACTGCCTCTTTGCTTCAGAGCTTGGTACGGTTTCTGGTTTCTCTTTCGGTGTGTCAGTCAGGCCCAGAGATGGTCTCTGTAAACCACACCTGTGTCTGGGGAGGGCTCTGCAGTTTCTAGACTCAATTTAGACATCTGTGTGAGGGGTGAGAAGTCCATTCCTTCTGTACAATGCTGGAAAAGGCACTCTAGAAAGGGTCAGCCTTAGATTAAGATGTCTGACAGTAGCTTGTCAGCAAGCACAAAGGTTTATTCAAGTGCCAAAGCTCAGGGATTTACCTGGGAGTGAGTGCATCAGAAAACTGCAACCAATGCTCTGAAATACATGAGCTGGGGTTTATTTTTACATGAAGAATGGGGGACAAGGATGATTACAAAAGTTTATTTTCTCCAGAGCCAGCAGCTGGAGCCACATGGCCAACTGTGGTTTGAGTCTTGAACCTGGCGGCTTGAAAATCACACTGGACGCCATGTTTGTGAATGCTCAAAATCTGAGGGAAGTGTGGGAGAAAGGATTGCAGCATGGCAATACTCTGAGATCTAAGGAGGAAATCCTAATCATGCAACAGTTTCCAAAATTCAAAGCTTGCACACTTCAAGTATGTCCCTCACAAAATATAGAAGGAGGCAGAAGGGCTAAGATTAGAGACTGAAAAGACAGGGTGACTAGATGTAATTTGGGATCCCTTGAGGGATCTTTGAGGTGATTTATCATTTTCTCTCTGTCTTTCTCTTGCAAGCACACATGCCCCATGGCAAAACCTTAAAAGAAAAAAAGTTTATTCTTTTTCCTAAGAACTCACAACACTGGTTCACAAGAACAACACACGTTTCTTATTGACTTTTTGATGATTTACACATCATATAAGTAACATAGGTAGGAGGTGTGTTACAACAATATGAGTCTGTAGAAATTTAGGGTACTTCTATTTTGAGGCCAACAGTCAGTAAATTATTTGGTAAAAATATATCCTTGAGCAATGATGTCAGCCAGCTGTGATTGGAAAGCACCTGAGACTTCCCTACATTAATCTTTCTGAGGCCAGTTTAGCCAAATGCCTCATTTCTTAAAATTCATCTGTTCTTCTCAAAGAATTGCATTGGTTAGCATTTTTTTGGTACAAAGTCTAAGTAGGTTTTCATGACTATAACCTTTCATGTCACAGCACAGAATATGTCAGTTTACAGGTGAGGTGACTCCAGCCAGTCTGTGACAGCACCCGCTAGGCTCCCTAAGTCATAAGATAATTTTAAGGATGGCTGATACTCCAAGTCTGCATGCCTCTTAAGGCTAAATTAACTGAATTCTATTTCTTTATTCATGCTAGCGCTCATGACCATCTGAGAGAGAGAGGGAGGAGAGAGAGAGAGAGAGAGAGAGAGAGAGAGAAAAGAGGAGAGGAGAGAAAGAGAGAAACTCTTCACAAGGTCTGGGCATGCCATGATCCCTTTCCCATCCTCCAGACCATAGAACCTTGAGAACTAGCTCTGGTGCCCAGCGTGTTTGAAGCTACCAGCCAGGGATGTCCGCTGTGACCACCATGTTAAATTCGGCTTCTCTTGAATAGCACACTAATCTGGCCTCTTAGTTAATTTAAAATGGACTATTTTATTTCCTTTCCCTAAGTCATAAGATAATTTTAAGGATGGCTGATACTCCAAGTCTGCATGCCTCTTAAGGCTAAATTAACTGAATTCTATTTCTTTATTCATGCTAGCGCTCATGACCATCTGAGAGAGAGAGGGAGGAGAGAGAGAGAGAGAGAGAGAGAGAGAGAGAGAGAAAAGAGGAGAGGAGAGAAAGAGAGAAACTCTTCACAAGGTCTGGGCATGCCATGATCCCTTTCCCATCCTCCAGACCATAGAACCTTGAGAACTAGCTCTGGTGCCCAGCGTGTTTGAAGCTACCAGCCAGGGATGTCCGCTGTGACCACCATGTTAAATTCGGCTTCTCTTGAATAGCACACTAATCTGGCCTCTTAGTTAATTTAAAATGGACTATTTTATTTCCTTTCCCAAATGAAATGTTTAACTGATGGCCCCAGAATTACATATGCCTGGTAAGAGCACCAATAGGTCTCAGCCTCAGACTTCAGTTTCCTTATCAGCAAAGATGGGATTAAAGTGTTGAGAGCACAGCAGGAGTCAGCAGAGGTGTAGATTAGATCATATGTGCTCATATAGGTCTGCCCACCTGTCTAACCTAATCAGGAGAGAGATTGGCCTCGAGGGGCCTTGGTGGGCGGGGCCTAGTAGCACCTCCCTCCTGCCCGGTATGTATAGAGGCTGGTCCCCGCTCGGACTCTGCAGTCCGCTTTCTGTGCGGGTGGCCTCAGATACTCGTCTGGGAGACCTGCCTCCAAGACTGCCAAAGCCACCTGGTTCAGGTAAGTGGGTGACAGGGGTTAAGGGTGTGAGAAGCTGGAGCCAAAGTATTGGCCTGTGGCTCCTGAGCCTGTTGGAGAGCAGGTCTCACCCGGAATTCAAACTCAATATCGAGTTTTCCTCACCACTCAGGCCATTATTATGGTCTTGGTCCCTCTAGGAACCTTGTCCAGAATCCACCTGTCTTAAGGAGTCAGAAAAGGAGGTGACTAGTACCCGCGACTGGCAGGACGCCAGGGGGTGCGGCCAATTGGGGTTAAATGCAGGAACGGGGTCTACTTCGCACAGCTCATACTGCCCACAGTTCCGTGCACCCCTGGGTGATTAACAAGGAGGTGGGGCTCCTGGGGTTGGAGAGAAGACTCTGGTTACCTCCCGTACAGCAGAGAAGTGAGCAGGGCCAGGAGAGGGAGGGGAGCCTTTTACTAATGAAGGCCTATTTTTCATCCCCAGGAAGAAACCAGCACTTTACAGTTGCGTCTGCTTTCTGACCAAGAGGAATTGCTGAGCGTGGATTCGTCTGCTCTGCCCTTTGCAGCTGGTGGCCCAGCCACTTGGCGGCAGCTGCCAGGGGCCCCCTGCCTCTACTGCTGAGGCCAGTGCCCTCCAAAGTCAGGGTACACTTACGGTGGAGGCGCTTAGGACTGGAAGGACGGTGAGAGCTGGGGACGTGTCTGCTCCTCACTGCAGAGATCCTCTGAGCTCTCGCTCCCAGACACAGCGGCTGCAGTCCAGACCCTCCTCCCGGTGCGATGGCGGCGGCCCCAGACCTGGCCGGACTCCAGGAAGAAACGCAGTGTCCCATCTGTCTGGATTATCTGGTGGACCCGGTGACCATCGACTGTGGACACAACTTCTGTAGTTGCTGCCTCCAGCAGGCCTGTCAGGATGGATTGCGATGCCCCGTGTGTCGTCAACCATGCCGAGACGGGCCCTTCCGGAGCAACGCCCAGCTGGGCAGGATGGTGGCCCTGGCCAGGCTGCTCAAGGTCAAGAGCATCAAGAGGAAGAGACAGGAGGAGCTGCCTGAGTGCGAGCAGCACGGCCAGCCCCAGGTCTTATTCTGCGAAGATGAGCGGGTGCTGCTGTGCGCCCCGTGTGCTGGGGCTGCGGACCACTGGGGCCACTGCGTGCAGCCGGTCCCGGAGGCCGATGCTCAGCACAGGAAGATGCTGCGCAGCTACCTGGAGTCGCTGAAGGGCAGAATGGAGGACGCTCAGAAGCTCCTGGACGCCCAACACAGACAGCTGTCGGAGCAGAGCGAGAACACAGAGAACCAGAGGAGGAAAACATGCTTGGATTTCAAGCACCAGCAGCAGTTTATGTCCCGCGAGCAGCAGGCTGCCCTGTCCAGGTTGGCGGAGGAGGAGAGGAAGCTGCAACAGCAGCTCCAGGCGCACACGTCGGCCCTGATAGAGCACATCCACACAGTCCAGGGGCTGCAAGGGGAGGTGGCTGAGCGGAGCGTGATGTCAGACTGGCAGGTGCTGGCAGGGCTCAAGGCCATCGTGGGCAGGTGTGAGAGCCTGCAGCTCCCCCAGTGCAGCTCTTCCCGGCTGAAGAAGGAGGCCTGCAGCCTGCCACTGCAGTACTCAGCCCTGCAGAGGGTCATGGGCAGGTACAGAGAGCAGGTGACTCTGGATCCTGCCACAGCACATCCCAATCTGCTTGTCTCAGAGGATCAGAAATGCGTGACCTATGTGAGGAAGCAGCTGTCAGTCCCCCAGAGCCCACAGCGATTTGTGCTTTCTCCCGTGGTCCTGGGTTCCCAGGGCTTTGATTCTGGCCGGCATTACTGGGAGGTGCAAGTGGAGGACAAGCCCGAGTGGGCTGTAGGCATTTGCAGAGAATCCCTGTCCAGGAAGGGCAAGGGGCAGAGTGGATGCTGGGCCCTGCAGCTGTGGGATGGCGCCTACATGGCTACAGGTCCTGCCCCAGTCCTGGTGGTGCTGAAGGAGAAGCCCAGAAGGATTGGCATTTACCTGGACTATGAGCTGGGTGAGATTTCCTTCTACAACCTTAATGACATGTCTCACATTCACTCTTTCGCTGATCGATTTTCTGAAGTCCTTGTGCCTTATTTCTGCCTGGGATCGGACAAGAAACCTCTTAGGATCTGTGCAGTGGCAGACCTTGAAGGATGATCTGTGATGCTGCTTCATGTTCTTCCCAGAACTTGGGGACAGTAGGAACTGTGCAGCTGTTGCTGAGTCTAATGTACATTCATACTGTATTTATATCTGTCCAGCCATGGTGACAGGCTCTGCTAAGACACTGCTCCTTAGCAGGGGCTACACTGAAGGACCAGCTTTCATTCCTTGTCCAACCTGAAGTTCAGATGCAGTGGTTTGCACCTTTAATCCCAACTTGGGGAGTTTGAGGCAGGAGGATTTAAAGCTCTAAGGTGGCCTGGGCATCGTAGTGTGAGACTTTGTCTGAAAAAGCTGTACATAGTGGTATGTGCTGTGGTCCCAGCTGGGAGATTTGGGCAGGAGGATGTCCATCTGGCAAGACCCAGGTGGACTTGATGGATTGAAATTCATGCTGGGCATGTGTGTGTATGTCCAAAATTCTTTGAGGACAATGGAGGAGGGATTACAGTGTGGCCATCCTCCCTAGGGGATGCTTTTTCACTTTTCCTCTCTCTCTCTCTCCTGTGAGTGGACATGCCCTATAGCAAAGCTTAAAAACAAAAGACAAAACAAAATTACTTTCTTTGAAAAGCAAAGTTTTTTGGACCTAAGGGAGGTGTATCTGTCCTCTAACTGGAAGATTATTATGGAACTCTAAAATTAGAGTCTACAAAACTGTCATTTTACATCTCCAAAAAATCTGAAACAGTGATATGTTTTCTACACGTATGTATTTACCTGTCAGTACCTTAAAAATTCTGGGTGGCTGAAGAGATGATTGTAGGAAGCAATTCTCCAAAAATGTTCCCAATTTAGGCCTTGTTATGGGCAAAATACTGATTGCTGTAGACTCTGTTTACAAGGATGTTCTTATGGGAACATGGTGCAAAAAAGCTACATGCTGATTGTTATTACTGTAAGACATGCTGGGCATATGTGCATGTGTGCTCAAAATCATGCATGTTTTCTGTAAATAAAAGTAGTATTAAGAGCGATTGCCAGATTCCCTTATTTGACATCTGTCCTGAGAACTCCTGCTGGTTCTCTGGACATCTCTGTTGCAGGTGATATGACGCTATACATTAGAAAATCCAAGGGGATCCAGTGGGTAGTATGTTAGTTAAGGTGCTGGACACTCCCACACAACTAACCACGGATTGAATCACAAACTCTTTCTCACTTTCTCCCTGTCTCTCTGTATGTGTCTCTCTGGTCAAATTAAAAGAAGTGAATAACTAAAACATTTAGTAATTATTAAAAAAAAGAAAAAGAAAATCTAAAAGAATACACACACACACACACACACACACAAATCACCTCCGGGAAGTGATAAATAGATATAATAAAGTGGCAGGATATAAAAGCAATGTACAAAATGTACAAAAATCAATAGCATTTATAGGGCACGTGCGCTCGCCAGATAGACAGAGAGAGACAGAGAGAGACAGAAAGTGAGAAATCATCCCCCAGGGGGGATGGCCACGCCGCAATCCCTTCTCTGTTCTCTCGGTATCTTGGGCACGCACGCACACACGCCCGGCATGAGTTTAAGTCACTGGGTCCGGGATGCGAACTGCGGTCAACTACGTGGGAGTCCAGCGACATGGCCACTACGCTAACTGCTGGTCCGGGAATCCACATTTTAGTCAAAAATCAAGAGAGATAATTAGAATATCATCACTACATTAAAACTGTTACGGCAGTTTCGCATAAATCAAGGCATCTAAAGGAACAATGGGAGAAAGAAATCAGCCAGAAAAAAAAAATCGATAGCATTTTACATTTGAACAGTGGACAAACTGGGACCAGCAGTTAGTGTAAAGGCTATGTCGCTGGGCTCCCATGTAGCCGACCATGGTTTGAGTCTCAGACCCAGTGGCTTAAACTCATGCCGGGCATGTGTGTGTGCGTGCCCAAGATCCCAAGAAAAGAAAAAAAAAAAGAAAAATGAGCTGAACAAACAATTCTCTAAGAAGACATAAGAACAGCCAAAAAGCATATGAAAACATGCTCGACATCTCTTATCATAAGGAAAATGCAAATCAAAACCACAATGAAATACCACTTAATCCCAGGCTAAAATTATAAAAATAAATAAAAAAGTGCTGGCAAGGCTGTGGTGAAAAGGGAACTCTTCTACACTGTTTGTGGGAATGTAAATTAGTACAACCACTTTGGAGAATGATCTAGAGAGTTCTCAGAAACCTACAAGTAGAACTACCATACGACCCAGTAATTCCACTGTTAGGTATTTATCAAAAGGGTAGAACAACCTCATTTGAAAAACATTTGCACATCCATGTTTATTGGAGCATTATTTACAATTTCTAGGACATGGAATAACACAAATGTACAAAAATAGATGGCTAGATTGAAAACGTGGCAAATAATGAAAGGCTATTTGCTGATGATAATGTATATAGGAATTTCTTTGTCTTGATTGATATGTGTGGTATTCATGCTGGAAAAAGACATTTTGTAAAGATATATGTAATTAAATGTTAGTTAAAAAAAACCCAATACCCCCCCAAAAAGAATATAAAGAATAAGTAAATAAACACCTGAGATAAAAAATAAATAAAAAATTATTATGGTTGTCTAAAAACAAAAAAAAATTAGATTTGTTTCATTAATTCACTGGCTTAGTTATATCAATAAACTGAAAGGAAAAACAATTGAAAACCTTCCGATAGTTCATCTTTCAGAATTTATCATTATATAGATTTTTAAGAGGTTTTGACTCAGTACCAGTATAAAAGTAAGATAATCATTAAACGTATAAAGGGATCTATCTTTCATACCGTAAAAGAAAACTTCACCTATTTTAGATTCTTTAAAAAATGCTTATCTTATAGTGTGGTTCAGTTGCTGGATTCCCACATAGTCGAGTATGGCTCGAGTCCTGGACCTGGAGGCTTGAAAATCAGGCCAGGCGTGTGTGACTGCAGTGTGGATATTCTCCCTGGAGGGTGATTTCTCATTTTCCCTCTCCTGTGAGCACAGGTGGCAAAAACCTTATTTATATATATAAAAAAGGGAACATGCCTATCTTCTTAGGTGTCGGTTAACTTTCTTTTGACTCAATGCAATATAATGACTCTATTTCAACTAATAATATCCCATAATCCATCCTGTACTAAAATTGGTTGGTTCTGACTCTTCTTCCCTCTTGGGGAGTCCTTACAGACATCCAAGCATTCAGGCTTCTCTTTCATTTCTACCTCACAGTATTGCATGCTAGCATTATATTCCTTAGAGGGACCAGCAGATGGTGTAATGGTTACGTTGCTGGATTCTCAGGTAGTCTACGGCAGTTTGAGTCCTGGACCCAGTGGTTTAAAACTCATGCAAGGTGCATTAGTTTTAAGAGAATGGAGAATGGAGGAGAAGGAATTGCAGCATGGCCATCCTCGTGGGGTGAGTTCTTGCTTTCTGTCTTTCTATCTCACTCTTTTTCTCTGGCAACTGTATGCACCCTATAGCAAAAATATCTCTTAAAAATAAAGAATTATATACCTCAGAACCAAAAATAATAAGAGAAAAAAATCTTTGGCTATGAAGTAAATTTTATGTTGTATTTCCATATTGCAGTTTTTCCTATGTTCTGAGATAGTAAATTTACAAAGAACTGTCAGGATCTAGCATTATATCTACTTGAATTCACTTGATAATTTTGTCTAGGCCAGAATATTGTGGAGGGAGAAAATAACCATACTTTTGAAAATTTGAATGAAAAATATCCAGAACATTTTAAATTTTGGTATCTGTGATAAATACAGTCAATATTTGCCAGTAATTCCAGGTCTGGCATCACATATTCTCTATCTCTTATGACAGACTTTTTTTAGAGAGGTTTTTTGCTATAGGGCATGTGTGCTCTCCAAAAAGAGACAGAGAAACCGAAAGTGAGAAATCACCCCCCAGGGGGGATGGCCACGCTGCAATTTCTTCTCCTCCATTCTCTTGGTATCTTGGGCATGCACGCACATATGCCCAGCATGAGTTTAAGCCACTCAGTCCGAGAGTCCAGTGATGTAACCATTACACCATCTGCTGGTCCCATCCTATAATAGACATTTTAATGAAGCATGTTCTGAATATGGTTTGGTCTTCATTTAGTTTTGCTAAAATATCAATTTCTTCATCTTGTAATTGTCTAAAACTAGTCTCTTGTTCATTTTAGAGAAACAATCTAAGTTTCTTAAATTCAAACTTTACTTTGTCTCTCCTATTTTTTCACCTTTTTCTTCAGTTCTGTTAAAAGAAAAACTTTAGACAAATCTAGTTTAGCTGCTTAAATAAGCAAAAATGATTCCCAAATGGGCAGCCCCCAGAATGGCTTCTGAGGAACACCATGGTGCCACAAGATCCAATAACTTTTATGACCAAGGAAATTAAAAGTGATGTAAATGGAAGTGAGGGGAAAAAATTGAGGAAGAGAAGCAGCTAGATTGGTTACAGCTTGGCATTTGCCTGTATGAATATAGTTTGAAAAGGTAGGCTGTTTGCGATTGACTGAAGTATGGCTTTTGTGATTGGCCATGACTCGTCAATTTGTTAAGGAAGCAGATTTCTAAGGGAGGTTATGGTTTACTTACAAAAATTAAAATATATGAGTACAGAGGCCTTTTTAGGCCAATATAATGTGGTTTAACAGTTACAGTGATTTTCTAGTTTGCATAGTTATCCCTTTTTCACTGTTTTACTCCCTTTTGCCATGGCTCAATGCAATGTTGCATTTTTTTCCCCTATAATAGAGGCAGCCTTTTCTATGGGCTAAACACAGGGATCTTGGTGAGCAGTAGAGAAACTACACTGTGAACATAAAGCCTCTAGGTCCTTCACACAGTAAAGGGTTGTGTTTCTCACATACAAGTTTCTCTTCCTGACTCTTCTCTTCCTCTCACTTTTTCTTATCAGAAATACCCAAGCTAATTCAGTCCAATTACCTAGCTGGAGACTGTGAATTTCCTTGATGGACAGCAAAAGTGGCAAAAAAAAAAAAAAAAAAA